ATGCATAGCTAAACCAAAGAGATACATGCTTAAAGCTGATCCCTAATGTAATCCAATTAAAATAGAAAAATATTTGGTCAATCATCCTTCTATTTGAGCATAAGTAACAGTTCTAGTATACATATCTTTAACGACTTGAATATTAAGTCATATCAACACATTTCCTCTCTAACTCTCTAAATAACTTCTCTTGGAACTTTATCATAAGTTTGTTTTTTTTTATCAGTAAAAATCATATATAGATCCTTCTTATTCTCTCTGTAATTCTCCATCAAAACTCTCAATAAATTTATAGCCTCCATAGTAGACCCGTCTGACATAAATCCAAATTGATTATAAGAAATCTTTGTATCACGTCTTAACCATTATTCAATTACCCTCTCCCAAAATTTTAAAATACTACACTTCAACTTAATTCCTCTATAATTTGCATGCTCCTGTGCATCCCCTTGATCCATAAAAATAGAGACCAAAATTCTCTTCCTCTACGCCTCGGGTATCTTTTTAATTTTTAAAATAATATTAAAATAAAAAGATACAATGAAATAGAGAATTATAAACCATTCTTTTAAGTTATCTAACTTTAAATTTCATAAAAACTGAAAGGGCAAGATAATTAAAAAAAAAATCAACCTTCGAGATTAAGTAAGATATTTGTTTCTCCTGCTCAAACCACATCAGCTAATCAATGCAACATAATAGTTTTAACTTTTTTTATATAATTATATTCTATTTTTTTTCATTTAAATTTATAAACAATTGAAAATATAGGTCCACCCACATTACTAGATGCTAGTACTAGAGTCTTAAAAGTATTTTTATTTTCTTTTTTTTTTTATTTTTTTAGCAGGTTGAGCACTCAAATGGGATCATTTGAGATTCTTCAGTTTATTTTTAATCAATATACTTACATGTCAAAACACTCTAAAGTCTTATATATTGTATTAACACAAGACTGCCACAAATTATTAAATGATAAATTCCATTCATCAACCTCCTAGGACAAAAATGATGTTACACTCATAGACTAATTGTTGAAAGCAGTAATTTGATCCCCTGCAAACATGATATGAATATACAATAACAAAGGAGACCCTTCCAATATATTATATTATGTAAACTTAAATGAAAACTTAAGTGCTTAAATGCATGCCAATTCCTTGCAAATTATTCATTGATCGCTGATGTTGATCTTGTTGAGCTTTCTAACACTAGTCTATCATATAATTCAATCATCAATTGAATAATTCATTTTCTTTTCAACAAATTTTTTGTAATTGTCATTAATTTGGAGCATACTTATCACTCTACATGATTTAAGTTTCTTCCTCCAATATTATTTAAGTACTCTCAAACCTAAATTTGCAATACCCCTCTCACACGAAGGTTCATGAACAAAAATTATTGGAGGGATTATCAAATTTCTTAGAGAAAATTACCATTGTTTGTTCTGCTCTTGCATTTGGTGATCATCTCATTGTATTTTGTAATATACTTCAAAATATTATTAATTTAGTGAAAGTCCTCATTAGAATTGCTCTTATCATATTTCCAAAGTGATTATTGATATCAAAAAGGAGCAAAAGACTGACACTTCTTAAAGCAAAGTCTCCTTAGACAACACTTATTCACATGGCTCTTCAAAAACAAAGCTTTCTTATTGAATTGTTTCATTGTAAAAAAAAAAAGTTAAACAAGGTGTCAAATATTCTTGGATGTCTAATTGAGAAGATCATATTAAATTTATTTATAAAAAAATTAAAAACATAAAAAACCATAACCTCCTTAAGAAGATTTCCAGTGCCCATTCTACTCTTTATAAGCAAGAAAACCTCGCTCAATAAGCTATTTCTCAGTTATACTCTCTTCTTAAATATAGTTAAAGATCCCTAGATATTTTTAAGGATATACTAATTGGATACCATTTGTTTCCTATTGGTCATATTTTTTTTTTTATTGTCGCCTTTTTCAATGATGAAACTAAAGCTACACTTCATTCTATTTCGAAGAAAAAGTGCTTTGATTCTTATGGCTTCAATTCAAAATTTCTTATGAATATCTAGTATATTATTTGTCTTTTTTTTAGAGACTATTTGCTATTTTTTTATGACTTCCAAACTTTAATATTATGCACTCTGTCAAAAACATATGCATTTATTCTTTGAACGACTACAAACCAAGTTGTATTTGCAATAGTAGCAATATAGTTTAAAGGGGGATTGCAAACCTTATTATTGGGCATATCAAGCCTCTCATCCTTAAGCTGATTAATTGAGAACAATTTGCCTTTGTTCTTAAGAAAATTTTTTGCAATAAAGTGGCATTTGCTAGTAAGCTTTTGAATGGTTTCAATTCCTTAACCTCACCAAAATTATTTCACTCCAATTTCAAGCTTAAGAAGTCATTGATAATGTGGATCATGGTACTTTACAAGCGATTGAGATTTTCTACTTTTTCTTATGAAATGGATAGCTGGTTGCACATTTATCATTCCTTTTTTGCTATTATTGATGAAGAGCTTAGATATTATTTTCAATCATTATTTAAGCTTAGCCCATAACTTCTCTTCTTCCCACTAGAAATGAATATTTCCCTAATATGATGTAAGCTGACAAAGATTAAAATTCATTCGAGTTATGAAAAAAATAAAGTTATTGTCTCTCATTTGTTTTATAATAACAAGTTATTGATATTTGGAAAAAATTTAAATGTCTTCTATACATGCCTCAAAATTACACTAGACCATTACTTAATCATACCAAATTTGTCTTAGCTTTCTTTGAAGCCGTGGGATTGGCTCCTTGAATCTCTAGTTGTTAAGTGTAAACTACTATCTTGAGAATACTTTGATATCATTCTTATATCCTCTAGAATTAAGACAATTGACTGTAAGCGTTATAAATAAGCTTGAAGCTTGGTTAAGATGTTAAATGCAAAAATTGTTGAGGTATGCTGCTAGGCTTCAACATAACCACTCAATTATTTGGAACTATCTTGTTTATTAGTTCAAACTTAAATCCGAGGTATTACCAAAAAAGATAGTCCCAGGAAAATCATTAGTTTGATATATGAATTCTTACACCACAATGGCTTCAAATATAAATTAAATATGATTTCTTACAATGCTACCATCTTGCTTGAAGATAAAGTTGGATTGGGACTGCCTTTTTTTAAGATTTGGAATTTGGTGTAGAAACATCTAAAGATGATTTGAAGGATCTATAACTCCATACTTGGCTCTTGGTGCGAATACTTATACGAATGCCAAATTAAAGAATTTTATTATAGATTCTTGCAAAGTTGTGCCTTACTTTCATGCAATGTTGATTATATGAATTAATTTTACACTATTCAGAACAGTGGTAATTTATCTTCTAATTTTAATTATTGTTTAAACGATAGATCACTTCTCTTATAAGAATGCTTATAAATTACCATATCAAGAACACACATATATATCAGAATAATCTTATATGGTGCAAAGGTTGCATCATTAATTAAATATGCCATATTTACTTGAAAGATTCAAATTAATATGCTATATTTAATTATTCACCATGCAACTCAAGCTCATGAAACACACTCTCATCTCTTTTTTGAATATTCAATTTCAACGAACCCTTTTGAGAAGTGCATTTCATGCAGATAATTTTCACTTTGGTTGTAGATTCTTGCAAGTTTCAAAATTTGAGCAAAGAATTACTTACAAAATCATTAACCACTTCAATTCATTTGGATGAAACATATTAGTAACATTTTTGGGAGAAAGAGGATCAAATATTGATATATTGAGCGCAAAAAAATTCTATGCAATTCATCAGATGACAATTCATGAATGAGTTACTTTATCCCTATATTTTAGATAGTAATTCCTATCAGTATTTGCTTATTTCTGTTGCTAGTTTGATTTCACTTTACTGCTCTGTCATATGGATGCTAGAGATGGCGAACAAGGTGTTGAATTGATCCTTTACTCTTTAAAAAGCTTGTTCTAGTGGCTGTTGTTTTTCCAATTGACATTCTTAACCACTACTGCGAATAGCCGGTACTTTATTTCAGATTTTATGAGAATTCTGCTTTGCATAATAAGGTCAATTAGGCAGCACCATTCGATTTCGATGCTTCTATCTTTTGTGCTATTCCGAGATTGTTGTGTTGTGTTGTCTTGATTATCAATGCCATGGACGGTGCCTATGATTTATATATCATATTTATACTTTGAGCAACTTTCTTGTCCAGAATTAATTTGTGCTCTGTATTGTAGAGGTGCAATCATAATTGTTTTCATAATAGAGGTGCATGAATTAATTTGCTTTTGGGGAATTCACATAAATACCACAATTCTTATGAATTTACATATTTACATGCATAGCTTTCAAATCATTAATATTACATTAAAATTACTACTATTACTAACTTTTTTAAACCAGAAAGGAACTTTTTCATGCAGACACTCATGACACCAAAATATTAAATAAAATGGAAGATGTACATACATACCGCTTAAATCCTATGTATTTACATATCTACATCTATATCTCATTTTTTACATATATGCCACCTTATTTCATTTTTTAAAGATAAATTGTATGCTTGAAAAGGTTTATTTGACTGTTTAAAAGTTATAATAGTATTTTTTATTTGGTATAAAGATTTGGGCACTATAAATGTAAAAACTAAAGTTTAGGTGTTAAATATGTAAAAACATAGGAATTAGCTGTAATGCATGTAAATGCCATGCATTTACATCCATAGCACACAATTCTTATGTATTTATATATCTCTCTCCTAAACGTTTATATTTATACATAGCACTCAAATTTTTAATATCACACCAAAACTAGCATTAATATCACTTTTTAAAAGTGAATTAAACATTTTCATTGTTTTAAAACATCAAAATGATATGCATGTAAATATAAAAGTTTTGGTGTGAGATGTGAAAATACATAAGAATTGTGTGCTCAGAATGTAGATTTCACAAAACTTTAGTAGGCAAATGCTCATAAATGCACGCTTAAATCATCCTGTAAACTATAGAATATTGACATGTAAAAGCTACGAGCAAAGTAACAACTCTATTTAACGTCAGTAGAACTTTATACATTACCAATAATCTGCGTTGCAACTTGTAAGAGAGCAGAGACGCCTATAGGAACAAATAATAAAGTTCAGCATCACAGCATGGCTACAACAGCATATTTTCGTTTCAGTTTTTCTGTGCCATTTAAGAGACCAGCTGGGTTAGCATATTAGCAATTAATTGCAGACTTAAAGTGATACTCATCCACGGTTGAGTAAATGCGGCCCACATCGACAAGGTAGTTTATTGCATCCCTAAAAATGAAAACTTTGTCATGCAGAGCCCAAAGGTCATGAATAGAGAAAGTAGGGACGGATGTATAAAATATATATATACATGATTTGATTCTTCGGTAAATTCAGCCTTCTGAACAGTTCATCAACATGCAACCCATGTTCACTGGCACTGCGGCAAAAGAGATTTCAGTTACAGCATATATTATACAAGTCTTAACAATCAAATGAGGCCTATTAAGAAATCTGGGGATGATTTGGGGCAGATCCAGAACTAATATAAACACGCACATTTAACTGATTGCAAGTACGAAATGAATCCAGTATCCAATTACTAACCAATTTGTGAGTTTATGTGGCTGAATATTTTGCAGCATTGACTGGTGTGGGACATGATATGTCCGGCAGAGCAGCTACTAAATTTATTGAGGCTTTCCATATTTATCGCAATTTAGCAAAGTGATGGTTTGTAACAAAAAATAAATAAATGAATAAAAATATACTCTGCTGATGAAGTTGAAGAGAGATATTGATAAGGGACAGATGTTGGAGCGGAACGGAACGAGCCAGCAGAGTGAAGCAAGGGAGCGAGCGTAGCAGAAGCATCTGTTCAATTGTGGGGGGGTTTGTTATGTGGGTTGGGAGTGCGCCCCAGGATTATATATATATATATATTGTATTGTAACCCTAAATGGGATTTGTACTCTTTTTTTGTGAAATCTAAAGAAGCCGCAGCTCTGCTCCCGAAGACTTAGGCAAATTGCCGAACCTCGTTAAATCTCTATGTTTTTTCCTTGATTTCTATGATTCTTGCAATTTCTTTTCCTTAATTCCTCAATAGATATAGATATCGCAAAGGAAGAAATCAAGTTCATTATGTTTGAATCCTGGATGCTATAGAAAACACAAAAACCAGAAGGAAAGATAAAGGGTGAACAATTAGTGGAAGAAATGTTTGTAATGACTATTTTCTATTGGTAATTATTATTTACCTCCTCAGGGGTTTAACTAATCATTTTTGTTAATTGTTTTTTATTTTAAATACATATTTATTTTGTGTATTTTTTTGGCCTGTTTTTATTTTTTTATTTTTTAAGGAAAATTAGCTTGTTTAAAAACATTCAAAAGAACTAAAATTTATTTTGAGTGTTCTTTAAAATAAATAAACATATTAGAACATATCAAGCATATTTTTTTTTCAAGCAAAATATATACAAAGCAAAATAAAAATAAAAAATAAATATCAATATCAAAAGTGATCTCTCAAGGCCCCTGAACAATCGCCATTCGTTATATCTTTTTATGCAATTTTTGTTTAACATTAAAATGACTACTTTGAATTAGAAAATAGATCAGAAAGTATTTGATATTTACTAAAAATACCCCATTATGATTTATATCAAACAGGTAAGGGAGGAACAGGTAGTGTACCGATAGCACCGCCAATTGATACAAACTAGCTACACGTTTGTTTAAGGGCAAAAGAGTGGTTTAATAGTAATTTAGCCAAGCCACAAACAATGACAATCCTCAAAATAATATTACTAAATCAATATCCAAAACCAGTAGATTCTGAAAAGAGAAAGGAACCCTGAGTAAACATGCAGAGAAAAAGGCAAACTTCCATTGATCTTAGCAAGTTATGCATTCCAACCGAATATGTATGACAAATTATTAGCTAAATATAACTCACAGGATAGCTGGTTCCTGGAACACTCTGAAAACCAAACTGTATACATCTTTTCCTGATCCATCCACGGTTGAGTGAGCCACAAACTAGAAAAAAGAGGATATTATTAGATCATTGATGCTAATCATTCATTCATGAGGAGATATAAATAAATTCTGTAGCTACAAAACTTGGTTCGGGAAATGCGCAAGGTAGTCTCTTCCATTTGGGAACTGTGTGCCTGTATTAATAATCATCTGCGTTCGGACTGTGTCGCCCTGTTAAATCGGAATTCTAATTTAATAAAGTGCATAAGTGTATGTCCATTAAAGATAACAACTGTGGTTGAAACCTCCAAAAGATGACAATACCTTCAATCTGACGTGCCACAGATGTAAATGTATGCACTCAACAAAGTGGAGTACAATATCATTGAAATCCGTTAATGGCCTGAAAATAAGGACATGCATATTGAAGTCAAATAGGATTAAAAATAAGCAATGAAATTACGTGAGATTAAGACAAGGAAATAGCAGAAATCAATTCTAAATGGCATCAGCTACAGGCATTCCATCTTTAGGACTCAAGTGGTTGATTGTAAATAGAAAGGATGCTTTCAAAATTGATGATTTTATTCACTCATTATGAAATTGACCATTAATCAGTTTTTGGGAATTCTAAAAGTGTTTTTGAGGTTTAAAAATCAATAGTAATCTCAAATTGTACCTAGCAAAATGATAGAATCCAGTAAATTCAAGTTTCAAAGCATGCTTTTGTTGATATTGGAAGGAATAAACTCTCTAAATTTTTATAAAGCAAACAACAAATATATATACAATTCAAACTAACCCTTATACTGCTAAATTTATGAACCAAATTTTGTGGGTCTTGCTTCATCTCATAACCACACGGATTGTGGCTTCAGAAGAAAATTGTGAGCGCACGGATGAAGGTTTTGACTGTTAGAGCAAGTTTATAATAGTCATTAGATTGCAATCAGTGTGATATTGCTTTATTGACTCTCTTTTAATTTGTTGGCATCAATTTTTGATGTCACGAATGTAGGGTGTCCACCTGCATGACCAAGGATAGCTTATGGTATGTCCATAGCCATTTGGTAGTTTAAACACCTACTTGAGACCTTTCGGTGAGTGTTGAGAGGCGTGTTGCCAGGATCATTTTGCTAGATTTAGGTTTTCTCTTAGGCGAAGGTCGGTCGGCATTTGGTACGTCGGACGACTCCGATCAGGGCGAAAAAATATTATTTCATGCTGCGCGTGAAAATTGGCTCAAATTGGCCCGATCTCTAGTGAGCCCGGACAATGAAACAGACTGCGCGATCACGTCCGGAATGTCGATTTTACTTGGTGGACATTCAGTTCGCTACGACTTTGCGGGTGAGCCTAAAATGGGTGAATTATTGTTTTTTAACCCGATTGCTGAAAAGGTGGTCCAAGCGGCCTCAAAAGACCCCGGATGACAAAATAGGCCGCGCGAGCGTGTCTGAATTGTCGATTCTAACTAAGTAGGACATCCATTACGCCACGATTTCACAGATGAATTAAAAAATATGAAAATTATCATTTTTGACCTGATAGTTCAAAAAAGTGGTCCAGACGACCCCGAACGGCAAAAAGAATTGCGCAGATGCGTCAGTAACATCGACTTTAGTCAGAAAGGACACCCACCTCGCCGCGAGAACGTAAACGGTTGAAAAATACGTGAACAATAATTATAATAATATAAATATTATTATTATAATATAATATAATATATAATATATATTATTATCGTTATAATATAAAACCCACGCATCTCCCTCCTCTCTTATCTATCGCACGAACCAGGCGCCAGTCGTCCGCGAGACCGAGCATCGTCGTCCCGAGCTCGCCGCCAGATTTCCCTCCACGCCGGCATCTCCAGGCGCCGGACCTTCCCCGCAGCAGATCCCGTCGTACAGCCGCTCGCCGGAGCCTCCCCTCTTCAGTCAACCTCACGTCCCGGTCTCGCCTTCGCTAGAAAACTTCGTCGGCGCATTTCTCGGCCGTCGGAGGTGCCGACCTCGTCGAGCTGTCCTTCGCTATCAGGCTACTCCATCTACAGCCCGCCTCCACCACTTTCGGAAAATCTCCTTCTTTTTAGCCGGTCATCTTTCGGCCTCTCCTCCTCGCCGGCCACACCTAGCCGGCCTACCTCCTTTTCGGCATCGTTTTCGTGACGAACCAACCTCGTTCCAGCATGCAGCCCAGATTTTGTGCATTTCTTCTTGCTTTTCTCGTTCCGATTGCGTGCTACCGGCATTCCACCACCGCCACCTCGTCCCCTCGCTTTTCCGGAAACCAAACGGCTCGCCGAAGCATCCAGACATTGCTGGACAGCGAATCTTGCCGCTGTCCGAAGGGGTGTAAGAGTCTTGGACCGCGTGCAAAAAGATCCCAGACTTCATTGGGCTTCGTGCAAACCGCGCGACGATATAAATCCTCTTCCCATTTGTACTTGTACTTCCTAGCTAGCCCTAGATTGTAGCGGCATTAGGCGTGCGGGTTCGATCGCCCGCACGAGGTGCGTGCGTCGGCGAGTGCCGGCGCGACGACACATCTGTGTGATGGATTACTTGTTTTACTAGAGGTGGCATTTAGGTTAGGATTCTCCTTACGCAACCAAGTCCCCTACGATAACAAAGTGAATCCTATTTGACTGCTAGCCTTAGCACAAAACAAAATCCTAAGGGTTGGAACATCTTTCGCTCCCCTTTATTTTATTTGCTCCAGTCTTGTTAGAAAGATCGAATTGTAGGACTTTGCGAAATGAGAAAATGCGAGTTATTAACTCATTTTGTAAAACTCAGAGGTGTCGTGAAATCTAGAAAAGCGTCGTCGCTAGTCCATTTCACGACAAGACGGAGAACTTCCCCCTTGGAGATCCGGGAAGAAGTTCCCCACCCGCCTCGCTAAAGCGAAGGCAGCAATCGTCATTTTTCTATATGTTGACCCTAGCTTTTCCGGTGAGATCGTTAGCACGGGGATGACTCCCTATTACATGTGGTTGTTTGCATGTTGCATTTTGCATTTCACGCAGTCGCCCCGACCCGACGAGCTCTCCACTTCGGCGGCCGGTAGAACACTTTACTTCGCTCTGACCAGCCGCATCGGCCTGGCGAGCATTTCACTTCGCTTCAGTCGGCTCTCCCGAGCCGGTTGGCACGACACTCTGGCTCGACTGGATGCCTTGATCCGGCTGATCAATTACTTGCACCACCATACTGTCTTGCATGTGTGTTTGCATTTTTGCATATTGTAGTGCATATATATGATTGCATTATTGCTCTCGTCTTACATCTGTATGTTTGCATAATTATAGTCATATGTTTGAATTGTACATTCTCTTCGAGCCCATGCCGCCACGGCAAGCCTACCCTTTACAGGTCATTGCCCTATGAGCACACCTCTTAGGGCCACTAACACCACGACATGCTAACCTCTTCGGGTCGCTGTCACTATGACATGCCCATCTCGTTGGGTCACTATCGCTTCGGCATACCTCCTGGGACCGCTGCCACTACGGTACGTCCACCTTTGTTCGAGGCCCTGCCCCATGATACACTCATCTCTTATATGTTTTGATTATTCATTCGCATTTGCATGTTCACATGGATAGTGAGTCAAACCCGTTAGAAGAGTGACTCCCGTGTTGGTCGCGATGTCTTAACGAGCATTGCTAGTCGGGTTGATCCCGATGAGTGCGAGTTAACCGAGTTAACTCATCGGGACTGACATGAGTATGATTGTGCTAAGAATCCAACGGATCTAACTTGTGCCAACTCCTTTCGTGACACCTTTTAGATTCATTGGATCCTTAGGATGTGGTCGGTATGACGACCTCAAAGTCATACCACACCCATACTCACCCCGCACTTAGATATTAGGTTGATGCATTTTTCGTTAGATGGTGTGCTAGGTTAGGATTTAGAGTGTTATGTAGTATTTTTCGACACATCTGGCTATTGTTGTGTGATGTATTGTTTTGTGCTAGCCATGTGTCACCTTCACCTTCTTGCTTTTTCGGCTTGCTTTTTCGGTGTGTTTGCATGCTCTCTTGTATGTGATAGTATGTTAGGACGATCTTCTGCAAATATTGTGTCTACTTATACATATTCACACAGGGTTATTATGGGAGATCATGTAATTATTTCTAATCATTTACTTGCAGGTGCTCTTTAGCTCCCCCAATTATAAGACATGGTTTGTTATTTTGAGATGTATGGCATGACCGCTAACATTTGTTTTCTGCAGGTCGAGTCTTTATTTTCTTTTTCAAATGTATTTGATAGAATCCTAGAAGAGTCTGTATCGGAAATAAGGTACAGGTTTCGAGGCGAATGACGCGTCGAACCGTGTGACTAGGACCAGGAGCAGCAGCTCGTCTCCCATACCTTAAGTCCGAATTTTACATTATTGTATAGACTTAGGACCGGGCATGTATATGCGGAGTCCGGTTGCTTTTACCGTTTTCACTGGATTATGTTGCCGGTTCAGCGGCATTTGGCCTGTTTAAATATTTTTTTTAGGTGTTTTCTTTTTCTCTCTTCTCGTGTGTCTTCGCATGTTGGAGCGTTTTATATTATTTTTTTTTTGTGTATATGGGATTTCACGACGTAACATAGGCTCATTATGACTTAAACTCCTAATTTTTCTACTTAAAAATCCTAAATAAAATAATCAAGATAATTAAAATTTAGGATTAAAGTATTCATGATTTAAAAATTGCAACATTTACTTTTCTGCATATATTAATAGGGTCTCCACAAAACTTAAGAACCGCGCTCTAGATTACTGCAATCATATTTGTATGTCCCGAAGAGCCCCCGTGCTTCTTCAACCTGATTGACCCAGCATATCTTTTTTTAGGTGGTTGTCTGGTGCGCCTAGGGTGTTAGAAGGCTCCCCGACCCAGACGGAGTGTAAGGCCTTTTGTTTGAAACGTTTCCAGCTTTGCAGCTGAACCTCCACTTTCTTTTCTTTCCCGATGCATCCTCGCCACTTCGGAGGGTATAAGTCTCACTTCTTTGAGTTCCAACTGATAGTCATAGGATAGAGTTTCGTTTCTTTGACCTTAGGGCTACCGAGGTTCCCGTGGACGACGCAATTCACGGATTGGTGACCGGAGATCCCAGGTTGTGTTGGGTCGACTACCTTCACAATCAGGTAGACTTAGAGTCCTAATGGTTTGGGATGACGGGTCTGTGGTACCTCGACCCGGTTACCTCTACCTCTTAGGACTACTATTCCCTACCTTTCGACTAACCCTATTAAGCCTTGTCTCTTCTTTTGTCTTTGTTGGCATCATCCTGATGGTCTGATGACTGATGAGCTGCCGTCAGTTTGGAATACGACGAATTGTCCTCTGCCCTTACGGTTCGGATGTGCTTTGACGTATCGGAACTTCACGTC